ATCATTAAAAGAGAACTATGGGGTAAATGTTTTTCACCATAGTTCTCTTAAGGGTCACGGGAGGACATATACTAAGCTCCTCCCGTGACCCAAAGCTCAGTATATTGCGAGCTACAGCTTGCGGTATACTGAGACCGCCACAGCCGGGACGGATCCCGACAATGCTGTCGAGATCCACACAGCTACGTGAATGACAGCTGGCTCTGCCTATCTAGAGGCAGAGCCAGCTGTACCTGCCCCCTCCCCCGTCCATTCCTCCTGTCAGCACTGAAGGATCGGAGCGGGGAAATCCTTGCAGGGAGCCGTGACTGCAGGGAGATGATCGATAAGTGAGTGAGCGATGGTATGTGTTCGCTCACTTCCCGATCTATTAGGCCGACATGTGACGGTTTCATTGTCACACGTCGGCTCGAACTATGAGGATGAGTTATTTTCATTCACCTCATAGTTCTCCTTTAAGGGGCACTTGTCCTTTAATGAACCTAAAAGTTGATACTTATTTTGTTACTACAGGAAAATGACACATCAAAAGGTTGATTTGCCAAACTGAAGTGAAGTGAACCTCTTTTCACTTCACACAGCAAATAATGTGCGGCAAAAAACCAAAGACAAAACAGAAAGTCTTCAGACGTGATTGATATTTTTAATGACAATAGGTTCACTTGACTTCTTGTTAGTAAATCACCCCTAACAGTTCTTCTGTATATTAAAAGGTAAATTGTTATAAATGATGAAACGCATTATAGCTTTGTCATAGATGTATATCATCAATCCAAAGACCAGAAACATATGTAATTGAGAAATACTTCATTTGGGAATGACTTTTTGATTAAAAAAGATCATATAAAGAAATGCAAAATTCCAAGTCACAATTAAATACCATCCTGCTAGACATGAGTTTATGTTTTTATACACATTTCATGTATTCCCACATGCTGTGTTGCTGCCAATAATTTATGACTGATCTGCACCCAGGCTGCCCTTCAGCATTTCATTTAATCTCTGCAACAGTGATTTACAGTAGCTTGTCATTAATAATACAGAAATGTACATGTGTGTTAACAAGTTAGGCAGAGCCTTTGACTAAAAAGTAAAAATTTAGGAAAATCCTTGACTGCATAAATGAAAAGTGAGATACATCACAAAGTCATTTGTTTACTGTTCCCTAGAGCAAATTACATTGTCCAAGGTATTTATTTGGAAAACTATTAAAATCTCAGAATGTCAGACACATTCTAAAGACAAACACACATGAAATAAACATCACCACATTTCTCTAATAGCTGTAAGTACATAAAAATTGGATTGAGCTTTACCTACATGGTAGACCTTGATGTCTGCCAACACCAGGGGAAAACAATCTATAAAATGGCAATTTGACACTTGGGTCCAAGCTTCTAAAGCTAATAAGTTTTTCATTAAAAAGACACTGTCCCTTTGCCCATTCAGTAACTCTGTCTTCTGACACCCCCCAATAAGGTATACTGCTATGCTACTTTGGTATCTCACCACTACCTTGCTCCATAGCTCTAATAGAGCAAGTTTTCTAGATATAGGAGATTATGTGATCTCTGTCAGGTGACTGTCCTCAGGCCTGAACTGTCAATCACCAGGTCTGAACACTGTAATGTGTGTTGGGTAATGACACCATAGAGATAGCCCACGGTGAACTTCAGCAGTAAGTAGGCAGCGAGGCAGCATAGATTGGTAAGATACCTTGCTATGGGAGTGGGATATCTGGGGTCCTGTCACTTTGCCCTGAGAGGTAGTCATGGTGTCACTTTAACAAACATCAAAATAGGTTTTGGGGTCTAATGCTGGAGTCTAACAGAAATGGCATTACTAGTGAATACCACCAAACTGGTTATACCTACCTTAACCCCCCCCACTTATTGTATAGTCCCAGTGAAAGCCTGATTTCAGTTCTTAGGCAGTGTGTAGCTTAGTCCCGATAGTCACACTAATGGACCTAAAAAACAACCTCACTAATTTTGAAAGAACTAAGGGCATTATTGTTTTTAAGAGGGATGGTAAAGCAAATAAACAATTTGCACAATGTATGTTCGCAGGACAAAGGAAAGATGTATAAAATATCAAATCATAAAATATTTAATAACATCCTTTGTTTTTTTTCCCTTGTTTTGTGGGGTTTAAATTTAAAAAAATGTTGTATTTTAAAGCATAAAGTCAGCTAAGAAATGTCAGGAAAATTAAAGTTCTTGTAAAAACATATTTGCATTCATAGAGAATTCTGTATTTGACAACCAGCCGTTTATTAGGGCAGCAGAAAATTGATCTCCCAAGGCAATTCAGGTCACAGAGATTGATAACCTTTATGGGCTATGGTTATGTTCTGTCTGCTGCTCGCAGATAATGCACTTTGGATATTAATCCTATAATGGCAACTATAACATAAGTAGCTGGTTATCACTAAGGTGTTACATTGAAGATTACACAGTATTAGACTGACACTTCCTGTAATGAAGTTCAGACATCCAGTAGAATGCTGTACTCTAGTTTTACAGTTACATGTATGTTCCACCAACATCAAACACCAAATATATCCGTTCCAGGTTATGATAACACAAGTAACTAAAGATTGCTGGACAGACAGTGATCTTAAGTAAACATTATGGCATATTAGCCATCCTTCTGATACCCACATGACAAGTTGGAAATCCACATGACATGCGGAGAATCGAGTGTGTAATGTAGAGAGTGGTTTACTTATCCTGTTACTTATTGCTAAAATCCTGCTTTATGCTTGTCATTGCTCACATGCTTTTCAAACACAGATAGGAAAATATGGCATGGAAATGTCAGAGTGACACCGAAGGGAGAAAAAGTTAAGAGAACAGTATCATTCATTATAATGTTATACCAAAAAAAAAGGCTTTGTAAATGTACCAAATAATTTGTACAATTTACATGGTATTCCAATTGTAGACTCTGTTCTTACAATAAATCCTTTCAGAATCTGTTTGTGGCTTCTGGATAAGTTTGCAACGGAGATGTAATTTGGAAACAGATTAAAAAAACCTCCCTTTACCAGCCAGCAGACCTGTGTGCTGGAGAATTTGTTTTATACACAGCAGTAGTATACCTTTTCCAAATATTCTATTTCTGTTATTTGCTGAATATAATGAGCTCTAGTTGAAAGAATGCCCTTGCATTAGACATGATGACATCATGAGACCTTAGACTGCTGGAGGCTGGTGGAGAAGAGGCTGCGGACTAGCACCCAGATGGGAGTGAGAATCAGGTGAGTATATCTTCTTTTTTTAGCCCTTAGCCCAGAACCAGCACAAACCCCTTGCAGTGCAGGGATAGCCCCACTGCAAGGTTTAATTTTTACAATTCCTGGAGTTCCTCTTTAACTGTATCACTGCTTTGCCAGACAAAAATCGGGTGTGTCACTTTAAACCACATTGCGAAGAAAAATCACAAAAAATGTCATGTAAAATAAAGCTACGTGTATGTGCTGTTTGCAAAAGAAATAACAACAAAATGGCATTACAGTGTACAAACTAGCTTCTCAAAAGTGAGGAAAAGAGTCTAAATACACATGGAACCTACTTTACCACTAGTAGAACCGCAGAACTACATTAAAGGTAGGGATAAGGTTTGGGTTTGCCATTAACATATGTTTGAGGCAAATCCTGCATGTTTGAGATTCACGTTTTGGGTGGATTTATGTGCAGATTTGCCCAAAATGTTCTAAACCATTTTACACTGCATCACGTTTGAACTATGGCCAGCAGGTTTAGAAGGACCAATAATGGGGTTCACTATAAAAGGAAGGAATACAGAGCAGCAATAATGTCATTGAATTGAAAGCTGTTATATGGAAAGTATAGGACATTAGGTTCAGTTAGGGAGCTGTACTTTAAATCTGTGAGCTACTTGGGCACCCAACCCACTTTTTTGAATAAAAAAATACTTTTTTCTATATTTTAGGTGAAACTGCTTTTTATTTTTGTCTGCAGGGCATCCCTTAAAAAGTGTATTTTTGTTTCTTTTTTTTGCTACTACAGTATAGGGTTTTTACTCGTTTTGGGATTTTTTCTTTTTATTGTATGCTATTAGGGCCTATTTTAAGTTTGGGGTGCTCAGAGCATTAACTTGTTACTGATCATCTGTTCTTGGAGCTGCTCTTTGTTCGCTACTCCATTGTTTAAAAGAAAAAAAAAAGTGCAAGAATAGTATGCACCTAAACCATCTTGCAAATATTATTTTTATTCACCACATCCCCCTATTCTAAAAATGAAAAAAAAAAAGGCATGCACAAGTTAGGCCTATTATGCCTGATTTAAACTGTCCCACTGCTGGACACTTGTACACTACTGTATCTTCTGTATTCTCCTAATTTTTAATGGGGGATAGATAGAAATTGGCCAGCGGCAGGGAAGTATTGCATTAGCAAAAACAGGGATAGACAACTACTAGCCAATTTACATAATACCATGTACAGCTTTAAGGTATCCCTCAAGCATGTTATTTACTGGATGGATTTGTGTATTTTCAGTGTTGCCCTTGAAGCTGCATGAAAAGACCCTCTGCCTGTTGCACAATATTTAAAAAAAATGTTTTTGCATTTGTACAAGTCTCCTATGGCAATGCCCAGCCTCCCATGCTTTTTTTTTTTTTTTAAATAGTTTGCATTTAAGCCCAGGATTTAACAGAAGATTTTCCTTCCAAAGCATCCAAAACAGTAAGGTGACACAGGTAAATAGATTTCTATTTTGCATGCTTAAGATGAGACTTTTTTTGTTTTGCCTAGAGTTGTCCTATAAACCACAGTAGAATGCAGTCATATTGGTGCAGAAGTATTAAAATTCACATCACTGGAAACATTCTCTAGGTGGTATTACTTTTGCATCAGTAAACTACGAGGGAAAGTAGGCAATTACAGGGCGTGCCAGAGTAGCACAAATGATTAGCTGCAGGTTGCCAGAGGCTGGAGCACTGATTGTACATAAACACTGAGTCAAATTACTCACCAATTGTTCACTTGAAGTATGGTGAGACCTGTGTCTTGTGCCAACTGTTTTTTCTGTTCTTCTGAAGGGTAGGGGTGCTGCAAGATAATAAAGGAACATATTTTCAATCCGTGATTACATTCCCTTTTGTTGCAAATAAAAATGCCAGCGTGCAGTCAATAATTAAAAGCACAAAATACTTGAGGTGTGTCATTCTTTTATTAGTTGTATACTACATCATCTAATTATTAGGCCGCACAGACTTACTAATTATAAGAATTAACCAAGTGAAGAAACAGCTATTAGGAATCCTGCCTGTTCACTGATATTTAGTTTTATCTTCCAGTGGGACACAGTAGGAGGAAAAAATCAAGGAAGTATCATGCCAACAGACAATCAGATAAGCCACTGCTTGCAATAGCTCTAAATTTAATTTGCAGTGTTCAAATAAGAGAGCCGGAGATATAAAAAGTCCCGTTTGGAGTGGTGAACTAAATTCTCCACATTGACTCATCAACGAAATACTGGGATTTTGAACACATGCCAACTTAAGGTCATTTAACGGCGTATTTTGCTTGACATTAACATAACTGTCTAAGTCTAATCATGAGACAAGAGGCCAAATGCTCTTATTCAAAAGGGTTTTTTTAAATTAATGTTATGGTTAATTGAGGTTTAAGATTTCCTATGAGAACCTAAATGTTCTTTACTAGGAAGAATTACATCACGCTAAACGACTTATTAAAAGATGATAATTAACCATTTTAAAAGAGTACGTTCAATATTCCTAGAGATCACTACACTTTTAGTGACATGGCTTGCAGGGAATTTTAACGAATAGATAGAGCATTCTCGAATTAACCCAGTCAGATAATAAAGCAAAAATACAATTTCATTACAGCGCAATCCCAAAGCTGCAGAGAATTTCCTTACTAACAGCAATGTTCACCAGGACTTTTCCAAAATGATAATGGTGGATTTGGAACAAGGAGCCCAAATGCTTCAGAATACACCTAAAATCTTATCTGAGTATGTAAACTGTTGACCCTACAGATCCAGATATTTGAAATCAACATGGTCATTCTAATCATTGCTATAAATTTGCTATGTTGAGGGTAACTAGTAAGTGATTAAGGTGTCTGTAGAAAGGGTCTACTATACATGCACTGCAAAAAGCAGGGGTATTAAGGTTGGCCCAAGCAGTATAACAACCATATCAAACAAGAGAAGATGTCCCCCTTTTTGTGTATGGCCACTCCCATGCATACCTAATGCACCCTGAACATCTAGAGTGCTGGAGGTGCTGCCTCTGTGGTCTCACACAGAATTTGTTAACTTGTACAGCCATACTACACAACCATATTAATTACATATCTCCAAGCTCAACAGCGGAACCTAGCTTTTTTCTTTAATTGGGATAGTGTAATTGCATTGAGGTTACTTTATGTGGTCAGTGTATATATACAATGATTCTTCATGCTGATTTTGGATTGTAACTTAAAAGAGAACTATGGGGTAAGTGTTTTTACCCATAGTTCTCTTTAGGGTCACAGGAGGACATATACTAACCTACTCCCGTGAGCCAAAACTCAGCATATGGCGGGCTATTGCCCGCCATATACTGAGAGCACCGCAGCTGGGACAGATCGGTAACAACACTGTCTGGATCCACCAAGCTGCGTGAGTGACAGCTGCCTCCTCCCCCATTCATTCCTTAACTCAGCGCTGAAGGATCGGAGAGGGGGGGAATCCCTGCGGCGACCGGTGACTGTTAGTCACCGCTCACTGCAGGGAGACGATCGGGAAGTGAGCGGACCGTCTGCATGTTTCTGCTCACTTCTCAACTTCTTTGTCACAGTTCAGCTCTAACTATGAGAATGAGTGGAAATCACTCACATCACCTCATAGTTCTCCCTTAAGTAAAAATGAAAAGCATTTCTTAAACAGCTATAATGCTGAATTTTTGTCTCTACAAACAATCTTAGATTATCTGTGTCCCATACTAGGAGGCAGCTTTGATCTCAATAGTGTGTCACGATTTTCTGATCCTGCAGTTATTTATTTACCTCTTATTTACTATTTTACTATTTTACTACTGTAGAGCTGGCTGCAACCAATTTCCATTCACCAAAAATCGCAAATACACTCAAAAGCAATTGCTAGAAACTAAGCAGTTTACTACACCCTTACACTAGATTGACCACCAGAATTCAGATGGCTGTGTAGTTGAAACAGCTATATAGCAACTTGAAAGACCAAATTTTAAAAAATGGATAAAAGCTGCAGCAACCTTGTAAAAAAACAGATCTTAGAAATGTTTCCTTTGGGCTCAATATGACCAATTTTGATCCCATCTCTGTGCAGTGGAAAGAAATCATTATTTCATGCCTTTGCTTAGCAATTTTCAGAAAAATGGAATTGAAAGTTCAGTCACACAATTAAATTGCCATGTGAATGACCAGAGTAACATACCATTGACTCTAGCAGGGTTATTCACAAAAGGGTGAAGAGTTTGGAGGAGGCAGGAGAAGTGAACAATCTAGGCCAACATAGCTGAACTGGAAAGTGATCTGAATTGGAGAATTTTTCCAAATCAGTTATTTTGGCCTAGATTCTCCTGCCTCCTCCAAACTCTTCACCCTTTTGTGAATAACCCTGTACATGTTCTGTCCCTTAGATGTGCTTATCGCTCAGATCTAATATTAGTATATGAAGAGGGTTTCCCTTTTATTAGCTTGGCTAACTTCAGTCTCAGCATAACTGTAGAAAATAATCTCCTGACTCTTGGTACAGAGTGAACAAACTGATTTGGAACGGAGTAGTTGTCTCAGTATGGAAAATGGTGGAGAATTATACTGCATCAAGAAACAAAAACTTTAATTAACAGCTACGGAAATGGCTAAAATCCATGACATAAGAGACAGAAATCTGTTAAATAATCTGTTAAAAAATGTCCATGATACAGATCATGATGAAATACAAAGACATTATGAAAGTATGGCATTTACATGCCTAACTTCCAAATCTTTGAGGAGTGTAACAGCAGTACAAGCAAATAAGTTTACAGTGGAACAGGGCAGTGGACAGGAAAACTATTGTAAAAATAATGAAAGCATAGTAAGTTAAGTAGTTAAAAGGACCTTGCTAAGGAACATCTCCTGATGGTAAAATGCCAAAAGGAAATGAAAAAAAAGAAGTTTTATCTGGAAGCATTTTATTGTGTGAACCTATCCCCTATCTTACCAGCACCCATAAGACAATAGTTAATTTATTTTGTTTCTGTCGTTTTTCATAAAGAAAAAATATTGTGCCCCACTTTGGATACATTCAAGAGTCAATATTTAATGTATGAATAGATCTTAACAAAGGGACATTACTGTGCATGCAAATATGTGTTAGGTCTGCCAACAATAATATATTCCTATTCAGAATACCGATATATATTTGTGAGTTTGCAGTAGCGCTAAAAGCCAGCACCTGTGAGGAGACCATTTCTGTACAAGAACATGCTGGTTAGGCTTGCTTTTAATTCCATTAGCATTATTTGCTAAGTCGGATTAGACATGCCCTAACATTTCTTGCATGCCTGCCTGCTATACTCTGATCCACATTTTACTGAATACAGTCCTGTTGTTTTTAAAAGCATTTCACTATTCTTCTGACTTATTGTACAATGCAGCCTTTAAGAGGTGTAAAGAATACGTCAGCCCAGGAAAAGCCAGCCTGATTTGCTTATTTTACAAGAAGACAATCACAATCTCTATGTAAGCATTGCTGCATTTCTGTGAGTGATTATTTATTTTCCATGCGCAAGGTAAGCATGAAAGCATATAAAAGCATGAGACGTGCATTATAAGTGTTCACTGGTTTCATTCCACTATAAAATTATTCATAAAGCTAGGAAATGCTATGTGAACACTATGTACACTCAAGAGGCACAAACATAGATAAACTACACACTAAAGCACAAATATGTAGGGAATATACTAACAGAAGAGTATATAAATGGCCACAAACAGGATAATATTGCTTCATGCACCATGTCTTCTCTTTGTGCATGAAACCCTACTGATCATATTGCTGGATCTTAGAACACCTAAGTTAGTATCTTAATCATGTGAATTGAAAAGTGTTACATAGTTACATAGTCAGGTTGAAAAAAGATACATGTCCATCGACTTCAACCCATAGAGATATGATATGGAAAAAGAAAAGAAAAGAAAGAAGAAAATCCTAAACAGAACGCGGTGCCCCCAATTACCCACTGTTGTTCCAGAGAAAGGCAAAAACCCCTTTAAAGCATGGTTCAATTTGCTCCAACAGGGGATAAAAAATTCCTTCCTGATCCCATAAGGCAATTGGATATTCCCTGGATCAACAATCTCTGATGCTTAATATACCTATAAGAACTCAATATCCAGTAATATTCTGTGCATTTATGAATACATCCAGATTTTTTTTAAACAATTAACTGAGCTAACTAGAAATAGCTCCTGGGGGAGTCTATTTCACATTTTCACAGCTCCAACTGTGAAGAATCCTTTCCGTATGCAAAGGTTAAACCTCTTTTCCTCCAGACGCAAAGAGTGCCCCATTGTCCTTTGCAGTGACCTTAAAGTGAATAGTTTGGCACCAAGTTCACTATAGGGACCATTTATGAATTTATACATGGTGATCATGTCCCCACTTAATCGCCTCTTCTCCAGTTCCATGGTTTTCTACTTTCTCCTTCTCAAAAAGCAAATATGGACAGAGACAACCCCTAAGTTCACTAATAGTGCTTCTTAGGCAGTAAGAGGGAGGTCTTCTAACATGTAGTGTAAAGTGCAGTGTTTTTAAACTCTTGGCACAGTCAAGACCTATCATCATAAACTTTTCTGTGTCCACAGTACCACAAGTACTTTTAAAAGCTACTGTCTTTGCCATCCATCTAAAGAGCCAGTGTTCAGTCAAGTTCACTCTATCCAAAACGGGAAAAAAAAAGGTTTAAAAGGCATTGGCTTCATTGCCATTGGCACTTTAAAAAATGTATATGATAGTCATGGCACACAGCTCCCAGGTCTCCAACTATAAACAGGAGCAGCATGCCTTGGGTGCC